TATGTAAAAAATTATTAAAATCCAAACAAAAGACATCAAAAGCAGGCATTTTCCTCACAGAAGTGAAGGTTTTGGGGACCTTGGGAGTGTTTGGAACTGGCAGGATTAATGTATCGAGTGAGAAACCTGGGCTCACACCTTGTATTTTGAGAAAGTGGAATGTGTATCATGGGCTTGTAACAGATTGGGATGACTCTTGGACTAAATAGTACAAACCACAGGGACTCTTGACAAGCAAAAACTTAAGATCCATGGTGTCAAATCAAAATGAGTTTTGGTAGTAGCTAATGAAGACTGTACTGATTCAGGAGTTGGATTTTGCTTTCTGTACTAGGCCATGGGTAGGTTATACAGTTCTGCTTCTCACTGGAGAGATGCAGTTTTACTCTGGTTGTTTCTCCCGTTTCAATCTTGAGAAGAATGTATTTTTTAAAACCATTGGTATTCCTTAAAAATGCCTATTTCAAATGAAACATCGGTACTCCCATGTGTAACATGGAATTATCCTTAATGTTTTTACTGGAATTTTATTGACATTTAGAAGAGGACAGTTCACTTTAAAATATAGAGCAATATTCCACAAGTCCAATCAAGGAACTGTGTTTCAGTTTGAGAATAATATCCATTTCTGTACTTGGAAAACTTCTATGAATGTTTTATGATGTGATAAGAGTTCATAAGTGGAATTGCGAGGACAGATGCGTCACTACATTGGAAACAGTGAAAAATGTGCATCGTGGAATTGTGGGAAGATTTTCCTTCACGTGGGATGGGAGAGGGCAGAAGACTAGACCCAAAGTCCTATCTCTGTCAATTTTCTATCGGTTAGATGATAGGGTGATTCATCCTTCACTGACAAGCCTCCTCACTTGCTTTAGGAGCCCTTTTCTGTTCATCAGATTGGATGTGCGTGTCTTGCATGACCTCTCTGATCTACCAGTCATCTGTTAGAACAGTTCTGAGACCTAAAGATTGTCTGAGATGGTTGAGCTCATGATGCTGCTTAGAGTGACTTTAAGAGAAATCATGCAGTTGCAAGCTCACATAAAGCTTCCCTAAACAACTGTTTCTGTCTGATTCCTTTTACTAACTTTAATTTTATTCACTTGTGTGTGCCTGGGATAATACTTTGCTTCAGTGCTTCATCTACATTATTGTATTGAGAGTCCCCTCCCATATGGCACTCTGATACTAAATTTGATTGATTGGACCCATTGATGTTTTCTATTAAGTATTTTTCGATGAGCAAGTTGAGCCACGTTGATAAATGCAATTCAGAAACAGTGTGTGGTTTTTATAGTGTGTGAGGTTTTTTTGTTAACCAGATATGAAATTTAATTATCCCTTAGTGTTACTTTATTGGTACATAAATATGTGCAACTGTTACCCTGAGCATAGTAAGAGACAACTAGAAAGTATGGAACCAAATGAGAGGTGGAAAGTGGGGGCAGCACTGCTCACTTCGGAAGTTTTTCTTTCAGCCCAGCATCCCAAATCCTAGACTGGAGAAAAAAGAGGGGGAAAAAAAAAATAATAAAAAAAAATCAATATTTGTATGAGTATTATTGTCAGGCTGAAAAGGCCAAACCTTTCACTTTTCTTCAGGATAATGAGTTTTAAGGATTCTTCACAAGTGCACATTCATGAGCAGTTCTTTTACAGGTATTAATGCTGTTTTGCTGAACCCAGCTGTCCTGGAGAGAGCTGCAGATGGCAGTCACCACTTTTATATTTCTGAGGGTGTCTTTTTCATTTTGGGTGAGACAGTAAGTTAAGTAAGATAGTAAAAGAATGAATTTTCAATTTGATAAGCCTTAAAACAAGCATATTGTGTGCCTAATGGTCATGTTTCTCTGTAGATCTTAGTAGAATTTTTTTCCCAGACATGTCTTCGGATAAGTACTAAGGATCTTAAAATCAGGTTTTGAGAGGCCAGTATTATGAGCAGGTAGGGCAGTAAGACTTTGTAAGCTTCATTTCTGCAGGCCCTTCTTTGCTGAGTTTTAGTGACATAAAGGAGTGAGCTTTCCTTAGGATTTTAAGAGCACATATTTCTAATAGAACTTGGCAGTTCAAGGGCTAAAGAAGCATTTTAATCTTTTGTGCCCACCCAGTCTCTATACAAATGTAAATATGTCTGCCTTTAACAATTTGCCAAGAAATGTGGCTTTAATTTGTTAGCAGCAATCCCACTCCCTGCAGCTCTTTCAGAGTCAAGTCACAACTCTGGCGGTGCTTTGACGTTTTTCTCTGTCATGGTGTCATTGTTTATATGATGTCTGCTTCTGCTGTCCTCCTTTTTATGCCTGGAATATTTTTCTTTAATTATTTCACTGCCTAAAAGGAATTTGGGATTACCAGACAGGATGAGAGCAGATTAGCTTTTTTTCTTTCTTTAACAAGTCCTGAAGTTCCCATAGGAAATAAATAGTATTCCCAAAACAGACAGTGTTTTTTTATTTTTTTTAATTAACTAAAATTATTAAGTCTAATAAAGAAAATAAAGGAAGTATCACCAATAATGGCTGAGTGTCTTAGTAGTATATGGAATGCCCATTGTTGTTATTTATGACTCTCTCTGCCTTCTATTGTGGACTTATTCCAGCCTTAGGGAGTTTACATCACTCCTAATAGCAAAAGGCTCTCTGGTTCCCACAGAGTCTTTCAAAGACTGACTCATATGCCTTATGTTAATTGTTCAGCTCTCAAAATACAGCACTTACAGGGTGTGGTTCCAAGGGGAAAATCTACTGTACTTAGAGGGCATGTTCAGAAGTGTTTCACATATAAATCATTTTGATTTTTAACTTTTTAATTCCTTAACCCTTTTCTGTCACTACTTTATATGATAAGCTGTTTGAAAATGAAAATAAAAGGTTGACGATGGCAGAGTGAGGGAATGTGTTAGCTGTTCAATTCTGGACCATTAACTCCACTCTGACTCAACTCACAAGTGACGTGGCTTCGTCATTTTTGCCTCTTTCCAGGGTCTGCTCTTCACACCCTGGGATGACGGTACAGTCCAGGCAATGATCATGCACTGTTCATAATCAGATGCAAGTTAGAACTGAGGTCTGTTGCTTATCTGCAGTAGTGAGTGCATGTGGACAGGAACTGTCCCCAGTCCTCCTCTGGATTTTGCACAAACTGCTACTTTTCACCCGTTGCTTACCACACCTACAAGAATTGCCTTAGCGATCTGGTGATCCTGTCAGCCTGCAGTGTTGATGTCCTCAGCTGAGGACTGAAGAAGATGTAATAGAATTAGCCTTAGCAGTTCCCATAAAGCAGAACAAGGACAGTTCAAATACTGCTGCTTGTGCTCCTGTTCTCTGGCTAAGTAAGAGTGCTCTCCGGCTGCTTTGCAGAACGATTGTGCAAGATCCTTCAGTCTGAGTTGAGAGAATGTTACTGGAAATTGGAGTAGTTTCTACAGACTCTACAGTTATGAGTCTTTGCCTTCTGTTAAAATCAGCAAAGCTTTTGAGTATCTTAGTACTATTCTGTTCTTTAATAATTCACAAAATATGAAAATGTATTTACTCAAATTAGGGGAGTCCGTACCTCTAACAAGAATAGAAGCAGCAATTAATCCCTCACCTTAAACTAGTTAGGCTTGATTTCTGAGGTTGAAATCACACTGCATGTATGTCCCATGTGGAAACACATGTGTTGCACCATTAGTGGACAGAACTTCTTGCATCTATCAATTACACTTGAACATGTTTGTGTAATTTGCCTCTGAAATGAAAGCTCAAAACAGCTGTAGTTTTTTAAACTGTTGAAATGGCTTTATTTCTTTGCCTGACTACCCTCTTTCTGCTTAGAAAACAGGAAGTTGTTTTCACTGGCTTATTCTTCTGGAAGGAGTGGTGAGGTTTTCCCCCTCTCCTTTAAAATAGCAATAGCAATAGAAATAAAAATAAAACCAGGCAGGGCTTAAGCCCCTGTAAGTGGCACGTTCGTGGGGGGTGTTCCAGGAAGAGGTCATGTACGTGCTTTGGCCTTGCACCTCCGCAGTCTTTCTCTGCTTTCTTCAGTTCTTTCGTACCGCCTGGCTCCAGTGTGTTAGCTTCACAGCGAGAAACGGTAGAAATAAGCGCTCCCTGCATTTGATGTGCCCCAGTCAGAAGCTGCATCATGCAGGCTGATGAAGAAAAAGGCTATCAAAGAAAAGGAGATACACAAAGCCTGTCCTCTTCTTGACTTGGCCACATTTTTTTCTCTCCTCTCCATAGCCTCAGAGATAATACTTTTTTGAAGTATGTGATAGTTAATAGTGAAGTCAGCAAATGGCTCTTCTCTCATTGAGATAGTTTCATTGTGAAAGGAAATGCTCACAGCTTGAAGAAAAAGAGCATTTTCCTTCCCTCCCTCTCGCCCCAATCTCGTATTATATAAAAAACATGATGCTGCTGTTAGCTGAGACCAGAAAGAATTCCCCTGTTGTCCTGTAGTAGCCAACCGCTACAAGCTGCGAGTTCGAATGTTCGTATTAAAAGTTTTAACCCTTGCCTTCTTAAATGAGCAAATAACACTCTGTATATTTTTTTGTAAGTATGGAAGATTATGGGAATTCCTCTGAGAATAAGAGTATAGACCACTGCGCCAGTCAGTCTCTTCAGAAAAAAAAAAAAGCTGACAAACATGCTCCTGTCTGCAAGAAAGATTCCTGGCATTTGTCACAGTTTGAGCCACAAAGATGTCAAATATTTGCCAACACTTTCCTCAGACAGTTTGGAAAGCTACGTCCTTTACATTAGTCTTGTTTGTTTGTGGTATATTTTAGCATATGAAATATGTTCATTGGGAGTCTGAAAGGGGAGGGAACTGACTAGACTCGCAAATATTAAAAGATTAAAAATAATTGTTTCTCTTAGACTGCTCAGATCAAAATAATAAAGAACATCTGTAAGTCTTGGTATTAGAAATGGAGTTTTATGTTGAATAATCATAGCTTGATGTGTCATGTTTTAAACCTGTATTTTCTTTTGGAGCAGAAAGAAGAACTTTGCAATGGAACGTCTGAATATTTTACTGAATCTGCTGAGAACAAGAAGCTTAAGCTTAGTTTGAATGAACAAATAAAGCAAGACATCTTGAAAGAAATGTATGTCACTATTCTTTCTGAGGTGTTAAATTTATAATCTGGTAAAATTTGGGTAAATAGAGTCTAGCCTCTCTAATAAAATTTCAAATAATATAATCTCTTTTACAAAATATTATTTTAAATTATTAAGAAACTACCACTCTAGTGTGGATAAGCACATAAAATGATCGTTGTTGTTTTGTACAGCATGAAAAAAAGCTGTTACAACCCACATAGATATCGTGCATATTGCTAGGCAGAATCAAAACAGGGTGTTTTTTCTTTGAATGGAGCTCTGAGCCAAAATAAACGTGATGTTTGAATCTGGTGAAAAACACTTTGCAAATACGTTTTTGTGTTGATTTGAGAGGCTGCAGAGTACCATGATACTAGTTTGGATCTCTGGTCACAGTGTCCCTGCTGTGGTGGATAGGGAAGCTAGTTGGTCAGCTGAACATTTTACTGGTCCTCAGCTATGCCATCCTTCCTTGTGCAACTTGCCAGTAGTCCTAAATCAGCTGCGGACTCGGGGATTTGCTGTCAGCCCTGGCAACTTTTCTGTTTACCCATGCTGTCTGATCTGTGTGGCCTTTAGAAACGAGACTAGATTTGGAGGTATGCCAGCTCTACCTATTTTGGAAGAGCCCTCTTTCTGAAGAGTTAGATCTGCCAACCTGGGAGCTGCTCAGCAGCAGCAGAAAGCAGTCTCAGCATGAGATGATCTATAGTAATATCTTTAGGCAGCTTCAGTACTTGTGCATAAAGCTCATTTTACAGCCTATGTGAAATCTAGATTCGTAGGTAGCATGCTGCTGAGGAGTGTTTATGTGCTGACACTCCATCAGGTCCCTTGTGATCCCATTTTCCTGTATGATTCCTTTTAGAATATCATCTACTTGTGTTACCTAAGTCCTTCCCAGATGAATGGGCTTGATACTAGATGAGTAGTGGTTAACTTTAAAGTAATGCTTTGAAATGTCCTGGGAAAAGTTCCAGAGGAACATTCTAAAATAGAGATTAGAAACTCTCACACAAAGATGCATGCGCTGCCTCTCCCCGCCTGCCCCCTCTGTGCTTTAGATATGCATTATGTGTGTGAATATATGGGAATGGTTTGAAATCATCCAAGCGCTTATGAAATACATTTTATCTAGTAACCAGTTTAGGAAAGAATTCAATATACTTATGCCGTGTTGACCTTTACCATCTGTATTGAATCGAGTTCTGCCTCTTGGAATAGACTGTGAACTTCTTCATGGCTTAGTCATTAATGAATAGGGTTCCCCTAGTGCAGTGGAAAATCAGATGGATAACACTTGATTTTATCCACACTAGACAAGCACAACTGCTCGTCAAGATGATCTACAGGGGTTTTTCCACATCCAGAAAGAGAGTTGCCCTAGTGGTGTTTCAGTTTGTAAGAAGGGCAGATTGAGGCAGTGAAGATTATTTTTTAATTTAAAAACAAAATTCCTTTTTTTATTGCAGCGTGAAGAGGACAAAACCAAGGAAAAGCAGCACAAGCAAACCTCAAATCAGCAAGGACTCCAAGAAAGTGTGTCTTGGCACGGTGGACTCGCAGACAGGGAACATAAAGAATGACTGTCAAACTTCTCTCAGTCGTCAATCTGAAGTGAAATGTGGGCGTACGGGACCGCTAAAGGACTGCGTAAATACAGCTGAGTGCAACTTGGAGCTTCCTGGTTTAGAGCTGGAGAGTTATGCTAATCAGAGGCAGCCTGATGGTGTTAGCAGCCAGCAAAAACCTCCCTCTGTGGAGTGGTTGAAGTCGAGTCTTCTAAGCGAGAACCCTCCTTGGAGCTCCGAGTCAGCACTGCTAGGTCCAAAACAAAGTCAGAAAGTAACCAAAAGACGGGCGCAAGGAAAGAGCTGTGGTTCAGAAGAAAAGTTTGGGCATTTCAGAAAAGTATCCTCTGAAGGGACTTCTTTCATTCCTGGCAATGCAGAAATAAGTAAGTGCAGTGGTGATTGTTTAGGTCCATTCCTGGAGGAGAAGATACCACTTAATTCCAGGCTGTTTTCTAAACAAGACATGAAGAAGACTGCGTCTGATGAGTCGTCAATAACTGTGAGAAAAAACCTCTCCCAGCCTCTTTCTGTGAGGAACAATATAGCGCAGACAAGGCAAAATGAGCCAAGCACAACCACTGAAGAATTGCCCGTGATGCCATCATCTTGTTTAGAACTGCAGCCTGTGTCTTCAGAGCAGCTTATCCCAAAAAGAAAAAAAGAAGTGGAAAACGGTCTCAGGAAGTTAAAACTGAGAAGGCTTAAGAAGTCATAAAGTCTGAAATGTTACCTTGATGGCGTGGGTGGACAGCCAAATCTATGCTACGAAAAAGTAGAGAGCCATTCAAAACAATGAAAAATAATAAAAATATACAGTCAAAATTAGAGAAACCTTTTACATGAAATTTAGTTAGCTAACTGTTTTAGTCATTTGGAACTGTAATGAAGATAATTCTGTAAAGTCTTTAGGAATTAGACACTGATATTGTACAAACCAGTGTCGTATTTATAGAAAGAAAAATCACTTATGGAATAATATTTACTGAGCAAAATTTTAGCTCTATGTATGTTTTAGTATTATTAACAAGTCACATCAGCTGATGACAGCAAAAGTTAAAACCACTTTCGTGATCTGGTAGCAGCTGCAGTTAGTCAATTTTTTTCTTGTTTTTGAACACATAGTTTATTTTAGTAAAAACTAATGCTTTCTGTCTCTGTGTTAGGAGGTTCATGGTTTATTCATGCGATCTTCACAACAGGAAGGTGAACTGAGGTTCTTTCAAATAAATCTTTAACCAGGATTTGATGTTGCTGGTAATTTAAGGCCCACCTTTTTGGTGGGGGTTCAAAATAACTGTAGTTTCTGCTTGTGCGGTTTTGATATGAACATTGATTTCTAACCTGAGTTGTGGATGCAGGTGATCATGCACTCAGTCTTCGGAGCAATGAAGATGGGTTTTATATACGCGGTCAGCTGGATGTGCGAACATTGCTGTTGGGAAAAGTTCATATGTAAACATGCATACGCGTCTTCGTTTTGAAATCAGGCCTGGTTTGTCTCTAGCACAACACACTGTTTTTCATGTGTTAGCAACACCCAAGGTATTTGTTATTTTGAGAGGTAATTTTTAATTGCACAGCGCTTTTTCATACTGCTTTTGTAACTTATATGCTAATGAGCTAAGGAAATGTAACTTTTTATTTCCTGCTTATCTCTCTTAAATGTTTAAAATAAAATTATAAGCTGTTTTCTTTTATCATTCTCTTAAAATCAATGTGACCACAGACATTTTATGTGAAGCAATTTTGAAAAATCTTACTGACGTATACTTACGACGGTGGATATCCTCATGTAGGTTAAGAAGAAGATTCACATCCGTAATTGTTAGTCGGCAGCGTAATGCAGGCCCTTGAAAGAGCTAGCGACTCGGCAGTTGACAGCATGACGCGGTCAGGTGAACAGCATCTTTCAGGTGACGTTTTCTCTTTTTTTCTTGCAGCCTGTTTGCGCAATGTTTCTCACGGTGCTTTGCAGTAAGGTGGCTAGTGCTTACCGACCTTCAGGCTCTGCAAAAAGGTCTTTCCTAGTAACAGCAAAGCCGAGGCTGCAAATGAACCTCGGTTTGGAGGAAGAATAGCCTGAGGTATGTTTGCTGTTGACTTTTGTGTGGACTCAAGATACTGGGCCAGGAAGGGAGTAAAAAGCACCTTTTTGATGGACTTAAAAGAGGTATAAGGATGTTTAATTAAGTATTTATCAGAAAAATAAGAGTAATTAAAATAAAATAATTTGATCGTTTATATTAAAGCCTCAGCGTATTTTTTCTGGGTGGCTTCTTTAATTTCTTACAGTGAATAAACTGATAACAAATGGTTTATTTATGGCATTTATTCTAGACTGCAGTTCTAAATTTCCATTATTTCGACTTTGCTCTTCCTTGGATCTTTGTGACGATGATCTTGGTTGTAACAGGTACCTCCAGGAGAGGTTGAGATGATTATGCAGGAACAGATATATGTTCAGTTTATAAAATCACTTTCTCTTTCATTCTGGTTAGGAGAAAGACCTTCTGCTTGCTTTGGCAAACACCCTGCTTGCCTCTGTGAAAACTGTGGATGGTCTTGAGCAAGAAAGCCCCAAACTATCACTGCTCAGTCTGGGATTCTGAAGCTTCCCATCTTCTTGCCTCTCTCCTCTCCTAATCTATTAAGTATTAGAAACCAGAGGGCAACCACATATAGCTTGTATCATCATATACTGTTGTTATATAAGTTCAACCTTATAATGACAGTTTAATTTTGATCTTAAGTGGGTAACACACCTGCATGCACCCTTAGAAATGAATGTTGTACGTTTATAGGGGGCTTGGATAGGTTAAACCATTCTCTGTAGCTAAGAGCACTTGACTTCTCCTTTGGTCTATTTTGTTATGTTACTTAAAAATGCTGGTTTCCATCACCTCACCGATAGCATGGGAACATCCTCCTTTTAAAACAGTGATTGTGCAACACGAAGAAATGTAGGGCTAGGGCACTTAAAGGTGTTAGAGCCTAGAGTCAGAGCAAATACAAGTGGACTTTCTCACAAGTGCATACTTGCATCCCTTCTTGCTGTAATTACTGGCTTGTTAGGTTCCTAGGCCCTTTGTAGCTCTGTAGCTAGAGCTTTGTTACTTTAAAGTTGCCTCTTGGATCCTCTTAGAAATGCAGTTATTCAGGGGGAAAAGCTTTGAATTCATGGTGATCTCTGGATTTTAGATGGTGTCGCTGCTCAGAGCTGTTCTTTCTTTTGTCTATGCAGCAGGACCATTATGAAAGTGTCCCTTTTGCAAACCTTGTGGGTGCTTTACGTGATGCCATGACGTTCAGGCTGTCTTGTTACTAAATGTCTCTGTTATCTCTGTACTTGAAGCTCGAGGTTGTCTTCCCCGTCTTTGCGTTTTTCTTTATCAGCAATCCACCTGCACCCAGATGGCTGGCAGAGGTGTGGTCTGACATGCTCTTGAACCACAAACCTGATTTCCTAAATTCAGGTTTAGTGAAAGAAAGGAAAAAAAAAAAAAAAAAAGGCAGCTGCAAACTGAGCTGGAGTAAAACTAGCACTTCGCAAGTCTTGGCTGTGGCTTTCTATTACCAGTTTGCTCCTGAGCAGCATTAGCATACCTTTCTGTTAAAAGCCATAAATATTTAAGGCTCTGTTCTGTTCTGAAACTGCCGTTGAAGGACAGAAACCATTTCTTTCAATTCAGTTTTTTTCTTTTGTATTTGTTTGTTATGTTGAGTTTTTTCATTTTCAGAGCTTCTTTGAACTCCTCTGAAATACATGTAGAGCTGAGATTGGCTAAAGTCCACAATGCAGAGCTCCCATTGAAAAATACCTGTTTGTCTTAAATAACTGTCCATTCCAAACCAGCCAGCTTTGGGGATTTTTTCTTTACTGAATCATCTAGTTAATTTGGTCTGTGCTCTTTGCTGATAGTGAAACAGCCCTTTCCTAGCCAAACACTTTCTAATGTGTGTGAGCTGTCATTTCCATTATTCTTTACATCAAAGTAGTTAAAAATACTTGTTTAGTGAACTTCTGTGTTTAAACACACATCAAAAGCTAGACCAGCCTTTTACCTATTTATTTATAAAGAGGAAGCAGGCTGATGTAGAATCTCCCTGCCCAGTGTTGATCAGGAGGAAGGTTTTAACTATCCCAAGAGTTGTTTTGAGTACTGAGCTTTGTGCTAGTTCTGATACTATCTGTCAGGTCGCAGTTCTGCGTACTGGGGTCTAGAGTGTACGGCAGTGTGTTATGACAGTTGCACGGCTGCGTTTGTGTTACGCTTGACTTGGATAACTACAACAGCACCTGTTTCTAACAAAAAAGGGAAAATTTGAGGAACCAAACCTTTTCCTTGCTAGAGAAGGTTTTGCCCAAGTGAGGTGTTAAGTAGCCTTCTGAAGGCGTTTACTTTGTCAATGTGAGCTTCCTTCCCTCTCGTTGCTCTGCATTAGGTCACATTGGCTGAGTCTTAATTGACATTTTTATACCATTGGCTCATTGGCTTTTGACTTGAAAATGGATTCTTTTTAAGGAAAAAGATGGAAGAACTATTTTTTTGTTTGTTTGCAATTGAAATTAGACAGACATGAGATACAGTCAGGCTATCCCAGATTGCCTGTTAGTAGTAGTTGTCTCCTTGCCTGTAACAGTGCCTCATAAAACGGTTTCAGACTGCATTAAAACACTAACGCAGGCTTGAGCAAACAGAGTTAATAGCATCAAGGGTGTTTTAGCCAGCAGTGGGAAGTGTGGGTTGGCCTCAGAAATTAGCTTTAATAAAAGGCCCTCCTCACTTCTTTGCTTTCTGCTTTTTTCTTCTCTAATAAGCATTAACCAGCATCCCAAAACCTATGTAAAGGAGGAGATGTGGGATGGGGGAATAGCAGCGCACCCAGCCTTTCATCAAAGGGCTATCAAAGCATTCTGCAGCTGAACCTGGGAGGGATATGTGCATGCTTATTTTGACAGTTGGAGCAGCAATTTCTTCAAGGTAAAGCAGGCTGGTTAAGGAAATCACACTGCAAATTCTTTCATCAACTTGTTCAAGTAACTTTGAACGCTGTTCTCCAATCTTGTCCACTTTTTTTCCCCCAGATAATTAAAAAGGAACCTGGTAGCGTGTGACCTTGCCCTTCCCATAGTGGCAATAAGGTGACATTTTTAGATGGGGGCCTGTTTGTTTGTTGGTTTGTTTGTTTGGTGTTGGCTTCTGCTGAGAAATCATAAGAGAGTTGTGCAAATGAGATAGTGTCACAGGGCAGTTCAGCTGTAACCTGGAAATTGGGCAGGGAATTAACCTCACCACCTGACCTCCTTTACTACCCATTTAAATTATTCCAGAGCTGGGAATTGGTTCCTGCGAGAGCTGACAGCACACCTCTTTTGAATGGGAATTCCACTGATTTGCTCCCATTCTGTTAGATCTTTTAGTATAGCTGAGACGTAGTACCTCAGTAGTAGGAATTGGTAATCTAGTGCCGTAACTGCTTTATTTGCTGCCATAACAACTATCTTTTTGATTCATACATCAGATCTTTAGAGAAGTGTTTTGATCTGCAATTCAAGAGATGGGCATGCCCCTTTTTAATATTAATATGATCTCGTAGTGCTAGAATGAAAAGAATAGAGATTTATTTCTCCACCTTGTAGAGAAACTGGTTGAAAGAGTTTGCACATCACAGAGAAGGCACTCACTGGAAGTTCTGGGCTGGAACGCCCTGTCT